CTTTTCTGGTTGTTTGTAGCCCTTATGTTAAAATTTATAATTCAGAGAAGTTCGGTACTGGACTATTCTGCTAGCACATAAGAGTTAAGAAAAAAAAGTCATGAGTTTTAAGTTGTCTTGACTGTAATTCTATATACTTTGCTATAAATACTGGCTTACCAATTTGTTCTTTTTTGTGTCACTAAGTTCTGTTTAGTGACTCACTACGAAATCCCCTCACAAGAGTCCAATTTTGGTTTCTTTTATGTTTCCTTTTTTAGTTAAATAACTACCTAGGTCACTGCATGTCTCTACAAATTATACTCAAGAGCATCTGTTCTTCAGTCAGTCAAGCCTTTTCCCAATTTGGCACTTGACCACCCTTCTTTCAGGCTGCTGCTTTTGCATAGAAAAAGTCAGCCTAGACAAAGCATCGTTACCGTTCCAACTATTAAGGATGGCCCATAGCTGAACTCTTCACTTACTGGCTCCATATAAATTATTAAAATGAGAATAAACACCAACCAGCAAAGAAGTAAGATAGAACTTTGGATAGGAAACCAAGTAAGATTCTGCCTTGAAAAGGACCAGTAGAACCTCTGCAGAAGAACAGACTGATGTCCCATAAGGAGAAAATGTTAAAAGTGTAATTTTAAAGAAGACAGTAATGCTGGCTACGTGGATTGCAGCGTTTATTCATTCCATCAGTAGTTACCAAGTCGCCACCAGATGCCAGGCACTGGGCTCAGTGCTGGGAATAAAACTGAATAAACTAAAAAACAAACAAAAAACTCCAAAGAGCATAGGAGACTTATTACCTTGTAATGTGTGTACTATGCGTTCAGCACTAACCATGATGCTTGTATTGAAATGGACTCTGGTGAACTCAAAGGCAGAGCAGCAAAGTGTTGAATAGCGTAGGCTGCTTGATTTCAAGCTCTGTCGCTGACTGTAAGTGAACGTCCAGGCCTTGTTTTCCTCATCTGCCGGGTAATGATTCCATAGTGCATACCTCAGGTGTTGGTGTCATAATTGAATGAGTTAATACAGGTCAGCATTTCAAATACTACCTGACAAATAGTAAGCATGCAGTAAACCCAGGCCAAATCTAATACAGGAATGTGTGGTGATAAAAAAGAATTTGGAAGCAGTGTGTGGATTTAACAGGAAAGAGTTTTATGCTTGATTAGTAATGTCTAATATATGATTGATTAGTAATGCCTGCAGTGAGTAGGAGGCTGGGGGGTGGCAGGCATGTGTTCTGCTTACATAGCCTCTCTGTGCTGTCTTATGCTCACTGTGTAGATAAAGAAGCTGAAACACAGATTAAAATATACAGCCAACATGACATACTTAGGAATAGGGCTAGAATTACCATTCATGCCACTATATTAATTTTCTTAGACCTCACAAATCATTTATTATTTGTAAAGAAATGATTTTCAGACAAGGCTATAAAAAGTTTCTCCAATGAAGAAGAGAAAATCTTACAAAATATCTATGTCAGCAATATCCAAAGGAACTAAGTAGAGAATATAATTCAGCTGGTTTGCATTGGATTTATACATTTTAGAGGTAAGCTATGGAGTTCTTTGTTGAGTCAGCTCTTTACAAATTCTGTTCCTTTGTTTGACTAGTGACTTTTAAACATAACTAGTTAAACTCATCCTAAGGTTATTTTCATACACTTTTCCACAGCACCATGAAATGTGCATAAGAATTTATGTTGTCACGACAGTGTGTACAGACTGGTTGGTTCTCATGTATAAGTTTATGTGAACTGGCAGCCTCGAAATGACGTGGGTTTTTTTTTTTTCAAATTAGAAGATATTTACTAGTAGCTCTGGGTAGGAAATTCAGTGAATCCATTAAACCCAGTCGTTAAATCTTTATCTCCTCCTGTGTTCACAAAAGAAATAGTTTCTTCTTTCTTCATAGCTGGGGAAATTAAGACACAGAAGTGAATTTTCTGTGAAATGAACCACAAAAAGCAGAAATGAACCCACGAGAATTGGCTTCTCTTCCACTGTGCTAACTGTGTAGCCTCTTAAAAGTTGCCCTACGTTCTGCTTTTGGCAGAAAACATGGGGAATTCATGGGTGAACATTTCTAAAACAAGAGGATCATGTCGCTTTGTTTTGGAGACAAAGAAAAATAGTATAATATAGCTCTGTCAGCACGTAGAGCTCAGGCTCTCATAGCTTGTAGTGTGATGAAGAGCTGACGCTTTGTCAGGTACAGTGGGTGCCAGCAAATTGTTACTAAGTTCGAGTGAATAAGGAGTGCCACTGGACTGAAGAGGTGAACAAACATTTTTACTTCCCTAAGAAGTTGTGAACTGCAAAGCCATCTGTTCTGAGATCTACGGGATTTATTAAGTCGTTTAGGGATCGATATTAGGTGGACACACAGACACATAAATGCACACACAAATAGAAGGGTGTGCTGAATCCCAGCAGAAATTCTGTTTAAAACAAAATCTTACTAAACAATAAAGAATAAAAGAATTGCAATGAAGAGTAAATAACAGAAGTGTATGAATCACATAGGTTCTTTACTACGGGTAGCTTCCAAGGCAGGGAAGCATAACCACCAAGAGCGAAAACAAAAACAAAATCCCCAAATCACATGTAGTTACCATGACTACTGTTTTTTGGCTGTCTTACCTACATTTCCTTTTCAAACGTCCCCCCGTGTTTATTTTGAGGAATCATCCTTCCCCACATCACGCGTAGTTTTGAAGGGAGTCCACTCCCCACAGGAGAAATGAAGGCTGTCATGTGAAATCAGCTGAGACAATCAGCATCTTCCTTCTGGGGTGCTGGATCTGCAGCAGCCCTTGCGTCAACAGAGACTTGTTGTGTCCGCTGCCTTTAAACCATCCCTGTGGTTCCTGCTTCCTGCTGCTGCTTGTCCGTTTATTTATCCCTTTCCTAGCCACATCTCTGCCAGCTGCCTCATTTTATTAACATCCTCATTGAGCTATAATAAACTTGCAAGACAGTGCACATATTTTAAAGCATCTACTTTGGTAAGTTTTGACATAACGTAGACACCCATGAAATCATCACCACAGTCAATATCCATCTCTCTCAAAGTTTCCCGGTCACCCCTACCTACTCTTCCTCCATATCCCCTACTCCCCAGGAAACTGCTGATCTTCTGTCACTTTTGATTAGATGGCATCTCCTGACATTTTATATGAATAGAATCATGCAAAACGCATGATTTTGTCTGTCTTCTTTCATTCTTCCTAAGTATTTTGAAGTCCATCCATGTTGTAGCAAATACCACTAGTTAATTCCTTTTCATTGCTGTGTCGTATGCCATTGTATAGATAGACAAGTTTGTTTATTCATCTGTTGATAGAAATCTTAATTAGTTCAAATTTTAGGGTATTAGAAGGGAAGTTGCTGTGATCATTCATGTACGATACTTTGCCATGTCAGATGTATGGGTTTCTCTCTCTGAATAGTTCTCTTTTCTTTGCCTCTTAGTCCCATGAACTCTAATTGCCTCATTCTCTGATTTCTGAGCTCCGTCCCCTCAGTGTGGGGAGTTTGTCTGTGTGCCTTCCCTCCAGAGTGGCCTGGAAACGTCTCCAGGCTGTCAGCTGGGATATGCATAGATCTGACCTCGTTTGTTTTCAGGCTCTCGGGAGTCACTGCCCGGCATTGTCTGATATCCAGATTTTTGAAAACCATGATTCCATGTGTGTTTACTGTTTTTCTGTGGTAGCGATGTCTGCACTTTTTCCAGTTTTAATAGTTTGAGTCTTCTTTTTTTCTCAATCCATCTAGCTAAAGGTTTATCAGTTATTGTTTGCTGCTGTTAATTTCTGTTTTGTTTATCTCTGCTCTAACCTTTATTATTTCCTTCTTTCTGCTGCCTTTGGGTTTAGTTTGTTCTTTTTCTTGTTCTTTAAATTGTGAAGTTGTTTATTTCAGGTCTTTCTTGTTTTTTAATGTAAGCATTTTTAGCTCTAAATTTCCCTTAGCATCCCATTCATTGTGTCCCGCAAGTTTTGGTATGTTGTATTTTAACTCCCCTTTGTCTCTAAGTATTTTTTAAAATTTCCTTTTTGTCATTTTTTCTGTGATCCTCTGGTTGTTTAAAAGTGTACTTTTAATTTCCACAGATTTGTGAAATATCTTCAGTTTCACTTCTGTGACTGATTTCTGGCTTCATGCTGTACTGGTTGGGGAAGATACTTGGGTGACATCTTTCTGACTAAATCCTGCTGAGACTTAATTTCTGTACTAACATATAGTTTATTTTAGAAAATGTCCCATGTACACTTCAGGAGAATATGTATGTTGATATTGTTAGGTAGAATGCTCTGTGTATGTCTTACTAGATCAAGATGGTTTAACGTGTTAAGTCCTCAATTTTTTTACTTCTGTTTGGTTCTATCAATTATTGAGAGTGAGATATTTGAATCTCAATTATTACTTTAGACTGTCTGTTCTTCCCTTCAGTTCTGTTCAGTTTTGCTCCATGTATTTTGATGGTCTGTTATTAGATGTGCAAATAATTACAATTGTTGTATCTTACTGTATTAAAACTTTCATTAACATATAATGTGTCCTTGTCTCTTGTAAACTTTTTTTGATTTAAAGTATACTTTGTCTGATTTTAAGATAGCCATTCGTGCTCTTTTTTGATTACCATTTGCAGGGAATATCTTTTCTCATCTTTTTGCTTTGAATCTTTTTGTGTGTTTGGCTCTATTAGTGAGGGTCTTGTAGACAGCAGACAGTTGGATCATGTGCTTTTATCCATGCTGTCAGTCTTTGTCTTTTGATTGAAGAGTTTAATTCATTTACATTTAAAGTAATTGCCGATGAGGATGTCAGTCATTTTGCTGTTTGTTTTCTGTATTCTTTTGTGGATTTTGGCCCTCTTTTCCTGCATTACTATTTTCTTCTCTGTTTCACTTATTTTTGTAGTGAAGCATTTAAATATCCTTCTCATTTCCTTTTATATAAAAACAAATACACAATAAAGCAAATATTTCAATAGTGAGTCACACAAAATTTTTGACTTCCCAGTTCATATAAAAGTTACATTTACACTATACTGTAGTCTATTACATGTGTTTTATAGCATTATATCTAAAAACAATGTACAGACCATAATTGACAAGTACGTTATTGCTAAAAAATACTAACCATCAGTTGAGACTTAGTGAGTCGTAATCTTTTTGCAGGTGGAGGGTTTGAAATACTGAAAGAATTACCAAAGTGTGACACAGAGATTTTAAGTGAGCAAGTGCTGTTAGAAAAAATGGTGCCGATAGTTTCTCAATGCTGGGTTACCACACACCTTCAATTTGTTTAAAAAAAAAGAAAAGAAAAGAAAAAGCAGTATCTGTGGAGCTCAATATGGTGAAGCACAATGAAATGAGATATGCCTGTATTTGTGGCTGTTTTCTTTATGGTTACTGTGGGGATTACATTTACCATCTTACAATTATAACACTATAATTTTAATTTACCAGCTGAACTTCAACAACATACAAAAACTCTGTTCCTTTGATATCTTCATCCCCACCCCTTTCAGTTGTTGATGTCACAAAATTACATCTTTATACATTGTGTGCCCCAAAATTTAAACAAATCATTCTCTTAATATATAATCTTTGAAATTATGTATAAAGCAAAATGTGAAAGTTACTAACCAGAGTTACAGTATGACTAGTTTTTTGACTAATACAGTTTTTTAAAATGTTAGTCTGTAATATGTATAAAGCAAAAAGTGGAGTTGCAAAACATGGTTAGAATAATACTAGCTTTTATAATTACCCATGTATTTATCAAGATTTTTCTTTCTTCATATGACAGCTGCTGTCTGAGTGTCCTTTTATTTTACCTGGCTGGACTCCCTTGCACACTTCTTGCAGGGCAGTCCTAGTGCTGATGAACTCCCTCAGCTTTTGTTTATCTAGAAATGTCTTAATTTTTTCCTCACTTTTCAGGACAACCAGATAGAGGATTCTTGGTTGGCAATTTTTTTCTTTTAGTACTTTGAATATATCATCCCACTGCCTACTGGTCTTCAAAGTTTCTGATGAGAATCTGCTGATAATCTTGTTGAGGGTCCCTTATATGTGACAAGTAGCTTTCCTCTTGCTGCTATCAACATTCTCTCAGTTTTTGGCTTTCAAAATTTCCGTTATAATGTGTCTTGGTGTGGGTCTGTTTGAGTTCATCTTGCTTGGGGTTCATTGAGCTTCTTGGATGTTTATATTGATATGTTTCTTTAAATTTGGGAAGCGTTCAGCCGTTGGGAAGATTGCTGGCCCTTTACACTGGAAGTCATTTCAGCCTCTTGGGGAGGGGCTTGTACAATCGGGAGAGGTACAGCAACAGTGGCCACCTGCCTCTGTGTCTGCAGCCCTGTGAGTAGAGGCAGCATGCGATCATCAGACTACAGATCCTTGATATTTGGGAGACACTACCCCATCCGTTTTGCCCGTCCTAGGTCCTGCAAGCTGTGAGCAGGAGTCTTGGAACATGTGCACAGCTGCCTGCCATTCGGCTGGGGTGGGAGATGAGTAGCCGCTACTGTACTAAAAAGCTGAAAGTGACCCAAATTAACAGCAACAGTTCACCGTCCTAGCCTGTCCTGAAAGTTACAAGCCTTAATAGAGGCCAGAGTTCCAGAAGAGTTACATCAGGCAGATTCTGCCAGTGCACTTGTTGTCATGGTGGGGAGACAGATTCCTGGTCTTCCTACTGGGCATCTTCCCAGAATCCTTTAATTTGCTTTTTAAGCTTAATGCACAGTAACATTATTTCATTTGAAATGTGTATGTCTATACTTCATGTTTGATGATTGTGTAGTACACAATTCCCTAGATCAAAAGTTGGCAAATTTCTTCTGCAAAGGGTCATATCTCAAATATTTTAGGCTTTGCAGACACGTGCGGTCTCTTTGATGATGCTCCCACTGCTGCTGCTTTTTCTGCCTACTTTTCCTCCTTTTCTTACACAACTTAAAAAAGGTTAAAGCTGTTCTTAGCTCAGGGGCCATCATTTGGATACACTGTTAAAAATAAGCTAAATAATAAGATTTTCCTCTAATTTGCCACCACAAACATCACTATAATATGAAAGAAAAATAGATAATAGTTACAAGATATCCGAATTTTTTGTCTTCTACTTCCAGCTTTTCTGTTATTTTACTGATGATAAGAATTTCCTCACTAAGTAAGAGACCTGTTTTTCTGGTCTCTCTAAATTTTATTAACTTAATGGCAAAAGGTTACAAGAGATTCTTTCAATTTTTTTTATTGAAAACTGTTGTTTTCTTTTTTTGGTATATATATTTATTGACGTATGGTCAATTTACAATATGTTAATTTCTGGTGTACAGCATAGTGCTTCAGTCATACATGAACATACATATATTCATATTCATATTCTTTTTCACTATAAGTTACTACAAGATATTGAATATAGTTCTCTATTCTATGCAGTAGAAATGTTGTTTATCTGTCTTATATATGTTAGTTAGTATCTGCAAATCTTGAACTCACAATTTATCCCTTCCTGCTCCTTTCCCCTTCTGGTAACCATAAGTTTGTTTTCTACGTTTGTGAGTCTTTTTCTGTTTTGTAAATAAGTTAATTTGTCTTTTTTTTCTCTTTTTTTAAGATTCCACATGTAAGTGATATCACATATTAAGTGGTATCATATGGTATTTCTCTTTCTGGCTTACTTCACTTAGAATGATGATCTCCAGGTCCATCCCTGTTGCTGTAAATGACATTATTTTATTATTTTAGATTCTTTCATTTATTAATTCAACACATATTTACTTAGAGCCCGTTAAGTACATGACAACATTCTGGTAGTCAAGTCTATTAGTGGTTTTTAGTAGAATGAGCCCTCAGTCAAAACAGATTATTAGTACCATCATCTAAGCCGTCCCTTTTACTGTGTTTTGTAGAACACCTTTAACCTGGGGTGGATCTTATGGGTTTGACACTGTAAACTTGTGGAGGAAATGTTGTCCAAAAAATTAGGTAGTGAAGAGTGAAATTTAACATGTCCATTTTCTCAGTAACCTTGCACAAGGTGATAACAATTGAAAATGGCAAACTGAAGTTTTATTATCCATTTAATTAATGGATTATGTCTTGGGGGAGAGGGGCATGGAGTTGTTCTGATGTCTGGTATCTTGGTTAGAAGAGTGGCTAAGAAGCAAAGTCTGTTCAGAAAGCAAGTGTCACAGGCAGAGGCTGTACACTGGGCGTTTGGGTGCCCTGCCTCCAAAGACATGTTTCATTACTTAAGGTTTGTGTGTCACATTTTAAACTGACCCTTTTTGTTGTTTAAATAAAAAAAAAGACTTTTTTTTCTAGTTTCCAAGTCCCTTAGGAACAAAACTCTAATACAAAAAGAAAAAAATTGTGAAATTTGAGAATATAACAGATAGAATTTTCTGTGTACTTAATTAATACCCAGAGATCTAAAATTTTGAGAAACGATTTAAGTGAATTCTCTGTCAGGCACTGTTCTGGGTGCTGTGGCTATATCAGTGGACAAAAAAAAAAAACCAACTCCTTGCTGTCATAGGTTTACCTTACAGTGAAGGGAAACTAACAAATTGAAAATGAGTATATAAATAAAATTTAGTGATAAGGTCTATGGATAAAAATATGCCCCCGCCAAAAAAGGGGAGTACAAATGACTAGGTCTCACTGTCAAAGTGACATCTTTGGCTTCAGTCTCCAGGTAACATTTGTGCTGATGCCTAAAGGAGACAAGGAGCTGAACTGCAGGGATACCGAATGTGAGGAAGACTTTCAGACCAAGGTCCTCAGGCATGCGCAGTCCGGAGTGTTCAGGGAGGGGCGTGGAGGAGGCGGAGTGGCTGCACCATCATGGGGAAGAGAGTGGGAGTTGAGACCAGAGTGTGGCAGACCCAGACTGGGAGCCTGGGCAGTGGGAGGGCTTGGCTTTCTAGGAGTGGGATAGGAACTCACTGATGGGGATAAGCAGAGCAAGAGTATGTAAAGTGACATCTGAGGGTTGTGTGGAGAAGACAGGGAGGAGTAGGATCAGGGGGAGCACTCAGGAGCCTTTGGAAATAACCCACGCAAGACGGGTTATTGGATGATTTGGTACCTGATACTTGTACCTGGATGTGGTAAGAGGTGCTGGTCGATAAGATATGTACGATGTGAGAGATTGACAGGATTTATGGATAACCTTCTTGTTTAATAATTTTTGCCTAATTTTCACTGTATCTACAAAATCTACAATATATATTTTAATCGGAGACATAAAACGTTTTCCCTTGAGGTTGACTGAAAAACAAAGATGCCTGCTATGTCTATTTTTAAAAAATTCAAGTACAGTCAGTTGCATTGTGTCAATTTCTGGTGTACAGCACAATGTCCCAGTCATGCATATACATACATATATTCATTTCCATATTCTTTTTTATTAAAGGTTATTACGTTTTGTTCATCATTGTTCTGGAGGTCTTGGCTAAGGAAGTAAGACAGGATACAGTAATGGAGTTTTAAGAATTGAAAGAAGAAGTTAAAATTTATTATGTTATTGTGATTGTATATACCTAGAATGCAAAAGAATCTAGAGATGAATTATTAAATACTTAGGAATATAGCTCCCAAGAGATATGCAAGACTCAGAGAAAACTATAAAATTGTAATAAAAGAAAAATCTGAAGCAATGCAGAGGTAGGGAGAGATATAAATCATGGTCACAGTCACAGAGCTCAATATTATAAAATTGTCATTTCTTCCTCAGTTGATTTATAGATACAGTGCAATCCCCCCAAAATCTGAATACCTTAAAAATACAGAAACAGGTTTCTTTTCTTTTTGGTGGAACTTGAAAAGCTGATTCTAAAAATTGATAGGAAAATACAGTGGAGAGAAAATCACAGACACTTTGGAAGAGCTGAGGGGAGAGGACCTGCTGTCTTGAAAGTCAAGATTTAGCCTAAAACTATGGAAATGAGAGTGTGCTCCTGTCTCAGACAGAAAAACCAAGTGCAGCAGAATAAAAACAGACTGAGGTGTCTAGGAGTGCCTGATTTATAGCAGAGGCAATGGTGCAGAGCAGGAAGAGCCAGGTGGTCTTTTGAAGAAATGAGGCTGGAACATTCATACTGGAAAAAAGGGAAAGAAATATACCTCTACCTCATTTCATGCACGTCAAAATCAATTCATTTTAATCATAACATAGAATATCCTCACAATCTCCAAATAGAAAACATTTTTTAAAAACAAGACCCAGGAGGCATCTATCAGTAAGATAAAAAATGGATAAATCTTGACTACATGGAATTTTTTGAAATTGTTGAAAGATAGCCTGAAGAGAGGGTAAAGGAAAGCCACATTGTGAAAATATATTTTTGACACATCACCAACCAAGAGCTTATGCTTAAAATGTGTAAATGCTTGCAAAACCAATTCCAAAAAAGCATCTGATAAAAATGGCATGAGATGTGAGCAGGTGCTTCCCAAAAGAGAGTATCAGTAGGACCAAAAATGTCCCCAACCTCATTAATTTGGGGGAAATATAAATTAAAATTACAGTGATATCAGTATGAGTCCACCAGATTAGCAAAAATTAAAATGTTTGACAGTAGCCAACGTTGGTGAGGATGTGAAGTAATCAGAATTGTTACACACAGCAGATGGGAACAGAGGTTTATAAAACTGCTTGGAACAAAATTTGGCAGTATTGACTCCAGCTGAAGATACACACACACCCTTTTCTGTTCCTGGATGTTCAGTCTACAATACTGTATGATTATAATATCCCCAGATACATGCAGAAGAGTACACAGGATAGAAGTGTTCAAGACAGGTCCAAACAGGAAACAGTCAAACGGCCATCAGTAATAGGTAAACACAGTGTGGTGTATTCACACTGTGGGACATTATACAGCTTTGGAAATGAACTACAGAAATACACAACTGCATGGGTGAATGTTAAAGACAAAACATTGCGTAAGTGAAGACAGGCACAGGTGGAATAAATAGTACATTTTACTATTTGTATAAACTTTGAAAAGAGGGTGAAAATAAACTGAATATATTAGAGAGACTTCGGTAATAAAATTGTGAACAAAATCAAGGAAAGGAATCCCTTAAAGTCCAAAATCGTGGTTGTTGCCAGAGGGTAGGAGGGGTGATGATTGGGGAGGGTCAGCAGCAGGGAGCTGGTTGTGTTTTACGTCTTGACCCAGAGGATGTCTCAGAGATTATTGTTTTATCGCCGTTTGTCAATCTGGGAATTTGTGCTTTATGTACCTTTCTGCTTGTTTGTTACTGCATTTAACAATATTATAAACTGATGCTCAGAAAGTTAGAAAATCCATTGTATGTGACAAAGCTGGTAATAGACAAAGCTGGGATTTACTCACCGTCTTCCCTGCTTCAGAAGCTCTTGCCTTCTCCAGTATATCATTGGTCCTTAAATTATGGGTCGTGGACCACTGAGAAGAAAACAGTGGCATGGGTCCAAAATGCACATTATAGAATTCCATGTAAAACTGATTCAGAATCTTTGTGTGGTGGATCCATGAGTCTGCATTTTATCAGGTACTTCCTGATAATTCAAGAGGTGATTCCAAAAGCATGATGAAGTTGAAAAATCACTGCACCAAATCACAGTTAAATTTCCTTAGAAGGAAATGACTTGAATAATCTATGCCCTATGAAGATCTCATATCTTTCTCTTTATTCCAAGAAGGGAAGTCACTGTGACCATTAAAAAAAAAAGAGATGATTGTACTTTCTGAAGTCAAAAGCAAGAGTTAGGATCAGGTGAAAACTAGCCTCTGGGAGTCTGGAGTTATAAGTGAAACAGAATATTAAGGAATTTGGATGGTGCGCTGAGGCTGCCTGCCCAGAGTCTGGACCCAGAGTGAGGCTGTCTTCCCGGCCTTCGCATGTGATGTAGTGCGTGAGTCGGGGAGGAAGCTGATTCCTTATGGACTATTTGTTTATTTCCATAGTCCTTTCGATATTAAACTCA